AAAGTTGTGCTAATTACGACATTCCGTCAAACGGCGTGTCCGTGGCTTGGCATCAAAATCAGCCATTTTGCATTCCGTGCTCATTTTCTGTGATTTTTCGCCTTGTATTTGAACGAACTCCTCCTAGGGAATTTATCGGATCTACTTCAGATTTAATCAGCGCAATCTAAAGACATTCATGATTAAAAGTTGTGCTATTTACGACATTCCGTCAAACGGCGTACCCGTGGCGTTGCGTTGAATTTCGACCAGTCACCATAAACAGTACTCAACTTCAGTATACAGTCCCACCCTGAACACGTCCTCATAACTTCAGCGTACATGATCCAATCTCAATGAAACTTCACGTGTTTGATAACAGTCCCACCCTGAACACGTCTACATGACAATATTCAGACATAGTGATAGCGCCACCTACTGGCAATAAGAAGTAAGCGCTGCATGGCGATTTTGTGCTGCGTTACGTGAAATGACCGTGCCAGTGACGACTTGTCAAATTCAGCGGATTCGCCATGAAATGCCACTCATAACTTCAGTGTGCAATGTCCAATCTCCAGTGAACTTCATATATTCTGTAACAGTCTCGCCCTGAACACGTCCTCATCACTTCAGCGTACGTGGTCCAATCTCAATGAAAATTCACGTGTGTTACAACAGTCCTGCCCTGAACTTGTCTACATGACAATATTAAGACATAGTGATAGCGCCACCTTCCGGCAACAGGTGGTAAGCGCTGTGTGGCGATTTTGAGCTGATTTACGTGACATTTTCATGTTGTGGTCCCCAAGTGTTACGACGGCACGCGACGCGGCCGCAGCACGCCCCGAGTTGGGTGGGGTGCGAGGTCCCGCTCAACGCTGCTTGCAGCTTTAATATTCTATTTATTTTTGTTTTACTCACTCAGTTAAAACACACGGCTATCTGGGTCGCAGACTGTATAAAATCGGGCTTCTGGTCCGGTGGTTTGTTAATGGTTGCTGGCTGGTTGCTATGTCAAACCCTCGACAAATGCTCGATAATCCGAGCTGCTGATTGGCCCAAAGCTGAAAACGCTCGACAAAATGCTCGATAACACTAACCTCTGGTAGGCTGGCATCCAGAGACCATTGCTGGGCATGGCCCCTCGTGTCGGGGCCATGCTAATCTTCTCTGTATTGTTTCAATTATAGTATATGTGCTGCTGGAGTAACACATCAGCTCCCTGTCTCTGCAGGGTATTTCTAGGGGGTCAGTCTGGAGAGAGGCCTGACTCACAGTGCCACTCAGACTCACTTTAGAGGATTAAAGCGGCTCTAAACGGCTCTGAACGGCTCTCAGACCACTGATAACAACAGG